TTTATTCAGACCGGGTTTAGGAATTTTTATAATCGTCTCCTCAAAACAAAAGTATAAAAAAATATTAGTTATATACGAACTTGATTTATGTTTTCTCTCAATAAGGATACAAATGTCCAAACTGATTGACGTATTTCGAATTTTTTAGATTTTTAGATGAAAAATGAAAATATGGCTACTATAAGCTTCCTGTTTTTAACTCTTAATTGCTCTTAACCCGCTAGATAACTTTTTATCTCTCAATATTATGGAATTTAATAAAGGCAATTCTTAAATCTGAAAAATCTGATTTGAACGACATATGCCTTTCGTTTTAAAATAATTTTCAGGGATTTAATAAGGGCAATTCTTAAATTTGAAAAATCTGATTTGAAACATGTGCCTCACTTTTTAAAATAATTTCAGGGATTTAATAAGGGCAATTCTTAAATTTGAAAAATCTGATTTGAACGACATGTGCCTTTCTTTTTAAAATTCTTATGAAAACAAAAACAACTATAAATTTGAATAATAATGTGTTTAAATTGATGAGAATAACGATGATCAAAAATGACATAAATATTATTTTTTTTTAAATTTTATTTTACTATATTTAATTTTTAAAAAATTGAGATGTTTATATTTTTTTTTACAAATATCATTTAGCTTTCCGTTACCCTAAAAAATTTTTTTTATAATTGTTGCTTATAAAATATTTAATTTTTGAGTTATTTTAAAACTATTTTATTCGTTAAGACCTAAACCTATCTAATATAACATGTATATTTTATCGCTAAAAAAATGAAAGAATAAATATTTTGCAATTAATTTGATAAATTAAATCTAACCAAAACGTTTAATTATGTAATTTTTTTATTTTTAAATATCCCCTTTTAATTATTAATGTGACTTTATTGCTAAGGAGTATAGTTGTGTAGAGAAAATCCGTTAACATTAAGATGTTTTAATTCATAATAGTTTTTCAAATTTGAGCTGCTATATTTTTAAGAAAAACCCCGAGTTCAAAGTGATAGTTTTCGGGGTAACAATTCGGGTCCAGCGGCTAATAATTAGATTTAACGACTAACAAATATACTAATTACCCAGCGATTAATTAAAAAAATATTTAAATAAGGAGAAAAAATATATATTCAACAAGGAAATATGGTATATGAATTATATAAAATTACCTGGGACCCTGGGTAATTTAATATGGCTAGGAACTTTCAACCGTGGAAAATGACTTCTTGTTAAACGGCTCAATTGAGTCAATTTTTAAAAACTGCTAATAATATTTTATCCCAAAAATTATAAAGCAAACCTGAAGATTTTGGTGATAATACACGTCAAACAATTTGCTAAACAACGACCAAATTTTTTCGAAATATAAGACTAATTTTTTTTTTTAAATATAATATATTTGAATCACCTGGTCGAATCCGATCTACTATATATCATTTCCCCAAGCGAGGAGCCAGCAAGGCTTCAGAAAAAAACATGACCCTTGCTGGACTTGAACCCAAGTCTATCGGATTCATGTCACTCACCGACTGGGCCATAAATAAATTACTTATAAGAAAAATTTATCAACCAAAAAATTTTATTTAATTTATAGATTGTATATGTTCGATGAATATAATTTTTTATGATACTTCCTGCGCTCCAGGAAGAAAGAAACTACAAAATGCTTACACGACAAGATGGGCCCTTCGACATCAAGATGTTATAGCATTTTTGGATCTAGAAGAGCCTATTTTATATGCCCTTGGAGGAATATCAGAATCACCTGAAACAAATATTTCATCCTGATACATTATTAGATTTAATATGACTGCCGATTTTTGGTATATTAGTAAATTATTTATTACACAACAATTTTATGATATTTTTCAAAAAAAATGAATTGGTTGAAATTATAAGAATCGCGAATATTATAACATTACAACTTAAAAAACTAAGAAATAATATCGACCAGGAATTCCTCGAGATTTATGTGATTGTTAAAGTGAAATTATATGTATTTGAGATTCACAAGCCTAGATTTCCACCGATAATCGTTTCAATATTAACGTAGACTCTGAGGATTATTAAAAATAACCGTTTTATACCACTTATGGATTTAATTTTGGCTCAAATCAATGAACGATTTGTGATTTATCAAATGGCTCCATTCAATTTACAAATATTATATCTTATAACTCACTCTGATCCGAGTAGTGTTGATAAAAAGCTCAAGTCGATTTTTAAAAACGGCTCGATTACGATTTTAACCAAAATATTATTGGGTAAGTCTGGTGATTTTGCTCACAGATGGCAGAAAGGTTTAGGCTTCTTCTTGCCATATCTTGAGTCTTACACTATATTATTTTTAATTAAATCTTAATCTGGCCGTTTTTTTAAATCGACCCAAATCAGGCATTTTAACAAAACTAGATAAGAGGATTTATCTAATCTTGACAGTGAAAAATTAAATATTTGGCTAGATTTTATTCATAGGATAGAAATATATCTGAAGGCCAATTAATTTTAGAATTTAAATGGTATAAAGGATTCATTTATGTAGATAATCCTCCAAATACAGTAGCTTTAAAATATATTTTATTAGTAGTCCAAGTATTTTAAAAATTACTGAATATTTAGGGAATGACACCAATTAGAACAAGGACAAATGATGGGATCTTTCTTCGAAAGTATATCTTAAAATTGATTGAATAGAGTGGCTATACTTATCGAGATATAACCAATCAAATTATTAAAAAATTGATGCAATCACAAAGAAGATAAAATTTTCATTTATGAATATTTACATACCAGTTTATAACTATATTTTTTAACGATATTACATTTGTTTTTAATATTTTGAATAAAATTTTAATGCTCCAAAAAAAATGATTTCAATGTAAAAAAAATTATCTCCACCTGTAAAGAAAATTAATTTTATCACCCTTTTTTAATTAGGCTATACCTAAAACGAATTATTTGTTATTCGATATTCGATTCGATTCGTATTTTACGAATACGAATAACACAATTATTCGATTCGAAAATTCGAATAAGGAAAATATATTATTCGTCGAATAATTTTTTATCTATTATTCGAGATTATTCGACTAAAATAATTTATAGTATTAATATATATTGGAAAATAATCATATATAAATCATATATTATTATTAGGAATTATTTGAAATTATTTCAATTTAATAAAATCTCCAAGTGGAATAATGAAAATTGCGCCAAATTTTGAAACTCCATTTTAATTTATCTCATAATAGACCATTACTTTAGAAATTTCTTTTATGATAGAGATGGACGAAGAAGGTAATTTATATAACACAAAACATATACAATTATAATAAACTGCTAATCCCATCACATCAAGAATGACAGGCAAACCTGATATTTCTCTTTCATTTGATGATGGAGAAATCATAAATTTGACTTTTTGCCTAAAGTTTTTACCACTTTATTTGTAAAATATTGCTAATGCTGTGTTATCTAAAATGGCGAGGGACATATTGTCGATACAGGGATCTTCAACCCCATGTGAGCGACTGTTTTCTGTTGGAGCTCATATGGTTACAAAATACAGAATGTCGTTAAAGGAGGAAACAATCCGAAAAACTTTATGTTTGAAAAATTGGCCGTCGTCAGATTTATCTACATTATAAATATGAATATTATATTGATTTTTCCACATTGTATATAAATATATTATATATGTATGCTTCTATTTTGTCTCACTAATAAAATTTGTTTGTCTTTATCCTTAGTTAAATTTTACAAAATAAATTTTATAATAGATCTTTTTTAATTCACGGTAATTAAAATTTTCGAATCGAATAATCATTTTATTATTCATACGAATACGAATAATAAATTATTCGATTTAAACGAATACGAATAATGGAATTATTCGATTTAAACGAATACGAATAATAGAATTATTCGATTTAAACGAATACGAATAATGGAATTATTCGATTTAAACGAATACGAATAATGGAATTATTCGATTCGTATTTTTGTAGGTATAATTTAGGCCCAAACCTGGTTTGACAAATATTTCATTTATATAAATTAATTTAAATGAAGTAAAAATAACTGCTTTTCTTATCATAAATAAAATGCCAATTATCATTTTATCGATAAAAAATTAATTCTACATATTTTTTAAGGCTCTATGTTAAAAAATTTACCCTCACCTATGGCCAAAGAGCCGAGTTTTTTGGCAGAATATCTTAGCTCTAGCTTGAGGACTGATAGTTTTTCAAAATACCAGTAGGATTTTTAAGGTTAAAAGCCTAAATTACTGCACTAGTAAAAATTTAAGAAATAAATTGTCATCATTTCAATGACTCCAAGGGGAAATGTTATCTCAGTAATATCTCTATAAATACATTGTGTGAATCTATTCCCTTATACTGTTATTTTTTTTGCATTTAAATGTATTTTACAGATTTTTTTATTAAAATAATTTTTACCATGTGATTAAAAAAATAATTAATTTTCTATCAAAAAAGGCTCTCATAATATAACCATTTGAGATATCAGGTGAGAGGGGGTGGGGGTTAATTTTTTATATATCTCAAATTGTATGAAGAGGTTTAAGATTTTACTTGATTCAGAAAGGAACTCCTTCCATATCATGATATAAAGTCAGTAATTATCTTTGGCTTAAGCTCAACATTTAAAAATAAGTGATTTATTTTTATCATATAGATTAAATGAAAACAAGTTCAGTTTTAGATTTAAGAAATGCATGTTAAATGATTGTATTTTATAATAAATTAAAATGAACACTTTATTTATATTGTAATTGAATCATAAACTTATTATCCTCATTATTCTATAAATAAAATAATTTATTTTTAGGTTTTGTATTTAATACTCAAATAGATAATTTTGCTAAGCAACAATAAATTATGGAGAAGGGAGTTTTATGGAAAATCTTGGTATTAGTAATGAATTTAAAATCACACAAAAGAAATGTAATTACAATGTCCAACATAGAAAAATATTATTTATTTCTAACTATCATCACAATTTATTCACATTAATATTTTTATTATCAATTATTTAACACAAGAAAATTTAAAAGTGAATCATATAATTGGTAGAAATGGCATTTCAGCATAGATTTAAGACGTGTTTATTCAATTTCTTTGCGCAATACTCTAAAAAAAGTATATAATTTTAATTTATTTATAATGATCAGATTTTTAATTTCAAATCAGTTTGTCATACGGTAATTCCAAAATATTTCATCATTATTGTTTATTTTACCTAGTGTGGATAATCTTGATCTTCATCTACACTATCCTCTAATCAAATAAATATCGACTTTTGTCTAGGTAATTGTCATCTTTTCACTTCAGCTAACAATTATTCAAATATCCTAGCTTCTAACTTTTCCCAACAGATTCATCGATATACCTATATTAAGAACATAATATAAATGAATATAATAATTTAATCAGTTATTAGCAAATTTAATCATATAATCATAGACTCTAATCTATAATTCATCATTTTGATAAAAATATTTTTTACCTAAAGAGGAAGTTAATAAATGAATATATGCATAAAAGCAATAGAAATGTGTTAGGAATGTAATTTAGACAACTTAATAATTAATTACTAAAGACAAAAGACAAAAGAATTATCTATCATTCACATTTATATTTTAATTTATGGCTTTGTTTTTACCTTATATTTACAATTTGTCACTAAATAAATTACTTTAATACCTGAGTCGCAATAAGTTAAAAAACGAATATCAAGTTCGTTTAAAAATAATGAATACTCGACATAAATGTCCTGGACAAAGAAACCTGGACAAAGATTCCCGGACAACACTGAATATAAATATAATAGGAAAAAACCTTGGACAAAAAGACACCAGACAAAAATACCGCTATTTTAATAAATATTTTAATTAAAATGCCAAGAAATGAGTATTAAATTTTTTTTTAATATTAATTCATTCTATATAGCTATTGAAAACCAGGGCCGTAGCCACGGGGAATGAGAGGGGCACCATCTCCCCCCAAAAATTATTGGCCCCCAAACCTGGCCCCAGAAAAAATCTCTGCACCCCAAAAAATGGCCCCCAAAAATTATTCCAGCCCCCCAAATTTAAAAAAAACTATTTTATCCTATCTCCTTTAAAAGCGCCAGCCCCTACCACCCCGATAAAAAATTGGGTGCTAACTGTTCCTAGCGCCCCCTTCCCCGCTCATGTAGATGCTACAGCTGTCCAAATCTCCTACTCAAAATACAATTTTATATAATATAATCTTGAAGATATTTAAATTGTATACGGCTCAATATTATTTTCCATATTTCTAATAGACTTGTATATGAACACCAGTTCGAGTCCCCTGAAAAATTTGAAGAGCCCCTTTCAAATTAAAATTTTTTTACACCACTAAAAAAAGTTAATGTTGGATAATGTTGGATAATGTTAGCTAAAAAAGAAGGTAATTTTAAAAACAATTTTAAAAAAATATTTTTGAACCCCTTGATATTATAAAGACTAGTAACGCCCATAAAAGGCTTAAACGGGGTTTAAAAAGTTTAAGCTGAACCAATATTATTATTTTGTACAAATCTACCCGAAACGCTATTTCTAAACCTAAACCCATATATGATACGATATGCATCCCTACATTTGGTATGGTATGCCATGGCATGGGAAACGGCCTTTTAATTATTTTATTTTACGCATATAAAATATGTAATATTATAAAATAAAAAATTATTTATAATAATCCTAGCTCGCGGTGTTCATTTTATCCAAAAAATATTTTGAATTCATCTGCCCGCTCATTGCTTTAGTAATAATTTTAACCTACCCAATGTTTAAAATTGTTTAACTGCCCATTGCAGACCTCTAGTGTGGGGCTGATTTTTATTGAAGTTATGTAGAAAGTATAAAAGTGGAGAATAAAGATAATAAAAGTGAAGTATTTTTTCACTGGAAAGAATTTATGAATTATTCATTGATAATTTTAATGTTGAAAATATTATATTTAAAATTTTTTAAACTATATTATTATATTATTAAATAAATTTTTTACTGTGGTTATCAAAGTAGTTTGAAATAAAAAATAATCAAGTTAATTTGTGTACAGTAAACATGACAACAGCGTAGAATGTATTGTTAAAAAGCCCGATTTGGGTCTATTTTTAAAAAGGGCCCGAATACGATTTTAGCCAATATAATATTATGTAAGCCTCGAGATTTGAATAGACGCCTAAATCTTTATGCCATCTATGAGCAAAATATATAGGATTAGAATATTATTTTGATCAAAATCAAGCCGTTTTTAAAAATTGACCAAAATCGGGTTTTTTAACAATACTAGAAGAAGTAATATAAAATATTAATTGACACATCATTTATTATTCATATTTATTAAGATTATTTTTGGCTAGATAAAATTTTCGTCTATTTTAGGAGACCCTTTTAAATATGGATATTTTTTACACTAGGAGCATCATTATTAAATAAATATAGGATTACTCTATCTTGTATTATTGCGTTATAAAAAAATGCATTATTCAAATCAGCGTCTACATGAGCGGGAGGGGTAGGAACAGTTTGCATCCTATTTTTTAAGGGGGTGGGGGGTAAGCTGCTTTAATGGGGGTAGGATTAATTTTATTTGGGGAGAGGGTTATCTATTAAATTTGGAGATGAAATGACAAAATTTATTGCTGTAAAAATTAATACTTATATTATAATATTATTATAATACAATTCATCGACCAAATCTATATGTTGCAAACAATCATACACATTGTTTTCCAAATAAACTATCCTTTTAAATATAATTTTAATGGTTTAGATATTTTAGCAAGCTCATAATTTCATAATAATTAATTCATTGTAAATAATGGAGGTTTTAATTAAATTTATTATGTAAAAAATAAATTCTTTATATTCACAAAATATCGATAGTTTGTAGTAGAGATAGATTAATTTAAGTTATCCTTTATAAATTATTTGAAAAGAGTATCAATAAATAAATAGGTGAAAATAATGATAAAGAGACATCGCCGCCGAAGGCGGCGGTGATTTTTTAGGGGGGGGGGCAGGCAAAGGTTTTTGAAGGGGGTTTGCATCCAGTGAAAATCCTGTCATGTAGACGCTGATTCAAATTATGATAATATTTACACAAAAATAATGTTTTATTAAAATTATTAAGTTATTATTTAGATCCCAGTCTATGTAAATGAGATAAAAACACGATAATTGTAGATTTTTCATACTTTAAGAGTTTTAACAATTTGGATTTGTTCACTTTTTATTTTTTTTCGCCTTAATTTTCTTAAACTTTTTATTTTTCAAAGATTTTTTTTTTCTCTAGCTTTCAGCTTTTCTGGTGGTAAGCTCCTTCAACATCTCTCTCCACTTTATGTTATTCATACAATCTCTTTTATCTAATTTATACTTCTTTATATTGACTCTAACTTTATGGCCCCATTGAAGTTTTGGCCTTCCTCTTTTACGTTTGCCTATCACTTCCAAACTCTCAACCTTATTTACGATGTAGTTCATAGGCCATCTCATTGTGTGCCCATACCACCTAACCTAAGTCTGTTTAACATTAATTTAGTGTTAATGGGCACTACCTTTAAACTACTTAGTATTCTTGCACTGCGCACTTTATCCTTTCTTGACCCCAGCAATCATCCTCAGCATTCTCATCTCCATAATTAGTAGACTTCTCTTGTCTGATTCCTTGGTTGGCCATGTTTCTGAACTATATAGAATAGTTGATTGTATAAAACTGTAAATTTTTCCCGTTAATTTGTGTGAAATTTTATTGTCAAATAGCACTCCAGATAAAGATCTCCACTTTAACCACCCTTGATTAATTTTACTCTTTATCTCTTTTCTATTATACCGTTTGTTTATATAATGGAGCCCAAATATTTGCAGCTTTCAATTGCCGATATCTGCCATTCATTTATATTAATACTCACTGTTTCATCTCCTCCTATCACCGTATACTCCGTCTTTTCTCTATTTACTTTTAATCAGTGCTTTTCTAAGATATTTATCCAACTCATTAATATTTCTTTCATTTCATTTGGATTCGGCAAATATATCACATTAACATCTGCAAATAATTCTACGGGACTGTTTGAGGCATAGACTGTGCTAATAGATCTATTACTGTAATGAAGAGAAATGGGCTGAGAGCCCACCCTTGATGAACTACTTCGGCTATTGAAGCCTGCTGGAATACCTGTTGTGCTACCGACCATTGTTGTATGGCCCATATACATATCCTGTATTATTCTTATATATTTTTCGGGAATCTTTTTGTGGCGTAGCGCCCACCAGATAGGTTTTCTTGGAATTATATCGAAAACTTTTCTAGATCGAGAAAGACCATGTGTAGGCTTTTGTTCTTTTCCCTGTATTTTTCACTCATTTGCCTATTTGCGTGGATAGCATCAGTTGTTGATCTTCCAGGCATAAAGCCAAACTGAGTCTCTCCTATTTCAATTATGTCTCTTAATCTTTTTTCTATTATTTTTTCGTATAGTTTTAGAGAGTGTGACATTAGTTAAATGCCCCTGTAATTTTGAGAATTGTGTGGATCCTCTTTATTTTTGAAGATAGGAACTAGATAGCTCTGCCTCCATTTTTGATGAACCTCTTCATTTCCATGTATTTTATTGTATAGATTTGTGAGGAAATGTATTCCATCATCTCTTAGGCTTTAAGACTTTCTATTGGAATATCATCTGGACCCCTAGCTTTGTTGTTTTTCATATGCTTGAGGCAGGTGATTATTTCTTGTTCTATTATTAGTTGTACAAGATTTTGACATAGGGAGTGTTCATCTAGATATAGTATGTGGGTATTAAAGTTGAGAAGCTCCTGAAAATATTCTTTCCATCTATTCAATATTTCTTTTTCTTTTATTATCAATTTCTCATCTTTATTTTTGATTACTTTCTAAGCTCCGTTTATATCCCTAGAATTCTTTTCTCGCTGTTTGGCTAATCTGTATATTTTATTTTGCCCTTTTTTGGTATGTAGTTCTTCATACATGTCATTGTATGCCATAGATTTGGCTCTAGCCACCGCCTTTGTAGCTAATCTTTTGGGTTTTTTGTATCTTGACTTGTCATTTGGGTTTTTGGATTTGTACCATATTTTATAAAAGGCTTTTTTCTCCTGTATAGTGGTTTGTACCTCTTGATTCCACCACCATAGTTCTTTGAATGATTTGTTACCTCCCCTTGTCAAGCCTAGTGTCGATTTGGCAGTGTCTATTAATCTGGATGAAAGGTCTGTCCACATTTTTTTAACTGACTTGTGAAGAATCTATTGTTTCAATGTTTGCATTGATTGCCAAGGCATCTGTAATTGTGACGAGTAGCTTGTGTTGCGCGGCTATATCTTCTCCTGGGATGACTTTGCAGTCTATTACATCTTTTAATTTTTTACGAGAGATTAGCATGTAATCTGTGTTTTCCTTGTACCACTTTCATATTAAATGACTGTCTTTTTTCCTATAGTAGGTGTTGGTTAAGGCAAAGTCAGGGCGCGCAAATTTCAGTATATGCCCTCTTTCATCATTTCTTTCTCCATATCCAAAACCACCATGATGCCTTTTGTAGGTATCTCTTGTTTTTCCCACATGCGCATTTAAGTCACCACCTATTATGACTAGGTCATCCTTATAGATTTCCATTACAGCTTTATCAAGAATAGCTCTAAAGTATCTTTCTCTTCTACCTTGCAACCCGTTTGAGGAGCATATACTGAAAAGATGTATAGATTGACCAATGCAGAGTTTTATCTTCATTAGTCTATCAGAGATCCTGTTGACTTCTACTACTGAGGAGGTTAGATCTTGACTGAGGATGATACCGACACCGTTCCTTTTACTAAGAATTCACTTATAGTACAATTTGTACTCATCTCCAATCATTAAAGTCTTCTAACCTTTCCATTTCGTCTCTTGTATGCACGCTATATCAACTTTTCTTTTGTTCAACATTGATACCAATTCCAAACTTGCTAATCTTGTCTTCTTTGCTTTGACCTTTATTTTACTTTTCACAGGATGGAGATCTGCGTCGCTTGGAGGGAACTCCCTAGGTTTCACATTCATATTTTCATTTGTTTGTTTATTGGACAAGCAGCGTCTACATGGCAGAAAATTTGATGGAGGCAAACCCCTCCAAAATCTACCCATACCCACCTAAAAAAAATCCTGCGGCCTTCGGCCGCGAAATTTACAGACCTACGATGGTATAGTGATTTTATTTAAAAAATCTTATCTGCCACCATTTATAACCTTACAACATAATTCTATTTACAATCTTTCAAGCCTATTTAGGGAAAAAAAATTTAAAAATTTGTAAGTGATAATGAACTTTTATTTAAATAATGCAATCTTTTCATAATTTGGTATTCACTTTATTTTCATAAAATATATATAAGTGAATTAAATGAGATATAATATTTCTATGAAAAAGATCTAAAATATTGTAAAAAATATAAGACGAATAAATTTAAAGAGGTATATTTAGCTTGATTCCACATAATTAAAAACATGTATTGTAAATAGAGCTATTATATAAAATATTAGAATAAAATGAATTATAGTATATTTTGCATTGAAATTATAAAATGTTAAATTAAATATACATTATTTAAAAGCCTATATATTCGCTGTGAAAAAGATACATTAATTATTTTATTAATAATTTGGATAAGCTTATTGATGTTAAAGCAAATTGTGTTATAATATCATCAATTGTAAATTTTTCAAAAACATCAATTTCGCTGGATATTAACAGTAAATTTTCCAAAAATGGGTCCGAAATTTTATTCCGCATTCGAGTTTTGTCAATTTTTACTTTACTCATGGCTCTTTCGGCTGAACAGGAAGTTGTAGGAAGGGTTAATAAATATTTATATAATAAATTTAAATTTGAATAAGAATTTAATTGATTTAAAAGTCGGTATGGTAATATAAAAGAAAATTTTATCCATTTTTTTATTTTGGTCATGATTTCGCTGTTGATATTTTCTTTGGTAATTTGATCGTTTGCAATACCTTTAATTATATACAATTACAAATAAAATATCAATAAATTACTTTCATCAATATATAACGCGTCATTCTTTTTAACTTTTAAAAGATCTTTGCAAAAAATGATTGATTGAGACTCCAAATATAAAGAGCGAAAATCATTATATTCATCAACAATGTTTTGGACATCCAATTGATAAGTATTACAAATTTCGGATATTTGCCATCCTTCTATTTTTTCATTATCCATAATTCCAGCGGGAGTAAAAATGGATATCTGTGATAAAAAATTTAAACAATCATAATTAAATCGATCATTTAGGTGATTAATTATTGCATTTAGAACAGGGAAAAATATTTCCTTCTATATCTATAATAATAAATAATAATTTAAATTTTTTTAATTTATTCAACTTGTTTTTTTTTGTTCAACATAATTATTGAATTCTGTTTGATCCAATTTGAATATTGATTTCATATTATACAAATCAGTTATTACATTATTCTTTTTCAAAAAACTATTAGATAAGGAATGTAATTTTTAAAATATATTGTCTCCATTAGCTATATTTTAAAATTATTTATAGAAAAAGTAACTAATATTAACCTTTTAGTTTTTGTAATTTATTTTTTGTATGTTGTATTAATTTGGTTACCAAAGCCAAATCATTACCAACTGCCTGCATTTCAATACAAGCCTCATGTGTACATTTCAATATTTCTTTCAAAATAAAAAGACTTAATATAAAATTTTCATCTTTAATTCTTGATAATAACCCATCGGCAATGGAAGAGGTGCTTGGGTCATTAGAATCTTTTAATTCAACTAATGATGCTAAAATATGTTCATAAACATCTAAAAAGATTTCTACAGGTTTGTAGGATGATGACCAATTTCTGAAAATATATAAGTTGCAAGTTTCATTAAAAATATTTTATTTACCTTGTTGTGTTTTTAATTCTTTTAAGAGATTTCTTGGACTTTCTCATTTGATATTTAACAAATACACCTTGACGTCTAACTCCATTCATAAAATTATATAACTCATCTAATATTCCCATTGCCTTTTTCATTTCAATTTTGCATCCACAAACATGAGCAACTACTAAATTTAGCCGATGTGCATGGCACCAAATATAGATGGCTTTTGGAGCCTCTTTCAATATTAAAGCCTGCATTCCTTTGTATACTCCTCTCATATTCCCTGCACCACCCATACTTTGTTTAACCAAATAATCAAGAGGAAGACCAAGATCATTAAACTTAGAAAAAACATGTTTCTTTATATTTTCCCCAGTGGTTTCTGATGTTGTAAAAACATGTATGATCCTTTCTACAGGATGTGGATGCAGATCATCTTCTATATACCGTACAAGCAAAGCTATGCATTCTTTTTTAGACACATCATATGTTCCATCTAATATGATGCTATAGGCACGATTCTCTTTAATTGTTTGAATAATGCTTTTTGTTATTTTTATATTAATAATTTCAGTTATTTTTTTCACGTGGCCATATGACAGTAAATTTATATAAGGTCTCGAAATTTTATCTGATTTTTTTCTCCGCAATTTTTCGTTGTTATCCATGTATGCACGTAAAGTTGGAACCGTTTTTGCCATTAATTTTATTAGACACATAAAATTACCTTCATTCGAATTAGAACCCCAAAAGGCTATATTACATTTTATAAGGTACATAATGGCATTGATAATATTATGAACTATATTACGATTTTCCATGATTATATCAAGTTTATTTGATAGCAAATGATCTTGAATGCGTTTATTTGCAAGCCAAGTCATGTTTGCATATTCACAATCTTTATGAAGAGAAGATGCTTCGTGTCTCTCTAAGTCACGCTTTATGTTTTTCCAATTATTTACCCCATGTTGAGTCCAAAAAGTATTGGACTTAGGGCCACCAAACATAATACAATATAGACAAAAGATTTTGTCTAAAGTAGTGCTATAAGATAGCCAATTTCTGGGGTTGAGGGAACCATCTATATTAACCTTTCTATAATAGGTTATATTCATGCTCCTGTTTAAAAAGTAAAAAAAAATATATTGGTATAGAAATAATGGATGGGTAAAAATTAATGAAAATAAATATTATTTAAAACCTCTTGTTAGTAACAGGATATTGAAATTTAATTGTACATGGCTGACAAGGGCCTACAGCAATTATGAAATTTATCAAAATATTTGTCATCCTAAATAATATAAAGTGAAAAGGGTCATTTGGTTCCTTTTTTTTGTATAGCTGAATAAGACTTGGACTTTGAATATCCTCATTATTCCCTTCAAAAGTCATTATATAAATTTTATTTAAATATAATGCCTCATGAAAAGTAAGTGCCTCACTAGAACCGGGGATTGGATGAGGAGATAATACAATTTGTGAATCTTCAATATTGGAGATTTGCTATAAATAAAGAGTATAATTTGTTTACTTATGAAAATCTATTTTTAATATAATTTCAGCCAAATGGTCATTTTATTCTTAGCTACATTATAATTAAGTTAATCAATAAATGTTGGAAATATTTAAATGTCCTAATTTATTTTCTTCAAAAATTATCATATAATTCGTATTTAAATTAAATACCTCATCATGCAAAGTAAGCGCCTCACTGGAACTGGGGATTGGATGAGAAGATAATACAATTTGTGAATCTTCAATATTGGAGATTTGCTATAAAGAGTATAATTTGTTTACTTATGAAAAACTATATTTTTAATAAAATTTTAGTCAAATGGTCATTTTATTCTTAACTACATTATAATTAAGTTTTTAATAAAGGTTGGAAATATTTAATTAACCTCATAATCATAATTTATTTCTTTCAAAAGTTATCATATAATTCGTATTTAAATTAAATACCTCATCATACAAAGTAAATACCTCACTGGAACTGGGGATTGGATGAGGAGATAATACAATTTGTGAATCTTCAATAACTGAGATTTTCTATAAATAAAGAGGAGTTTAATTTCTTTCCTTATGATAACTATATTTTAATAAATTTTTAGGCAAATGATAATTTTTTTTAACTACATTATAATTAAGTTTTTAATAAATGTTTTAATTCTACATGAATACATGATTGAGAAAACAGGTATTAAAAATAATATGAAGTCCAACATAAAGTTATCAGGTTACAATGGAAAGATGATACAAGTAATAGGTAAAGCACAAGTGAATGTAGAATACAAAGGGAATTCACATATTTTGAACGCAATAATCATAAACATCAATATGACTTTGTTAGATCATGTAAAAACATTTTTAAAATATACTTGAAAGATTCATAGGCATGATAGATGCAGATTAATATAAAACTGTGATCACATGAAGAAATCATAAAACAATATTATAATGACTATAAAAATAAAAACAATATTAAGTATAAATAAAATTGTGAAATTCATGATGAAAGTATATTATCTAAAGAAATTCTAATAGCTAAATAAAACAATGATAATAAACATACCTAATATAACACATAATGTAAATAAAGGGGATGAAACTCACACAGATAACATTTTGAAAATAGTTGATTCCAAATCATATTTTATAAGATTTATATTTAAAAAAAGTAAAAGAATTTGAAGTCTTAATTCAATTAAAGATGAAAAGATTTAAATTTAAAAATTCCTAGAAATTAACATTACCTTATTTTACTACATTATATTAACTTAATAAGTTTTTTTAATACTTTGGTTTTAAATTATTATTATTAACTTATTAAACATATTGTTAAATTGAACTTTATAAAGTATATATAGATATAAAAATAGTGTGATAAACAGTTAAAAAACATTAAATAATAATATATATAATTTATTTTCTCTATACCCTGACTACTTTAATATTAATATTATTCTGGTAAAATTTTAAATCAGTTTCTATAAATTCACAAATTTATAGTTACAATAATAAATAAAAATATTACTTTTTGGAAGTAAGATGTTATTGTCTTTTTTTGCAACTGGGTTTCAACTCCATTTGTGATATTATATGGAATATCACAATTTAAAGATACCCAATTATTATTATCTCTTTTGATGGCTACCTTTGTAAATTTCATATCAGCTGGCTTGACATGAGGATGTTTATGTTTATAATGTTCATGTATCTTGTCACTTCTTATTTTAGAAGTTTTGCAATTTTTAATATTGCACTTAACTTTAAATATGGTTTTGTTACTTGGCATCTAGAAAGAAATAATTATTATAATATAATTTTTTACATATTATGTTTTTTATTATTCTTTGCTTGCTGATATATGTTTTTATGCATGACTCAAAAAATTACCTAAAATTTATCCTGCTAAAATCTATAAATTTATTAAAAAACATAATATAAATATATTCACCTCTAAGAAAAGTACCAAATAGGAAATGTGTAAATATTAACTTGATAAAATGCTAAATGAAAATCGTTGACAAAGAAAATTTATATTATTTATTAATTGACAAATATCTTTACTTTAATTGACATTTTTCAGAAAATCAAACGATAACCATCATAATCGTATCAATTAATGGATTAAAAAAAGATTATAATTCAAATCAAAAATTACCCACCAAAAATCAATACCTACCCCCCAAAAAATAATGCCTACCCCCAAAAAATTAATATCAACCCCTTAAAATCGATACCTACCCCCAAAAATGCTAATATATTTTGGAGGCATTTGTCTCCTACCCCCCCCCCCGGCCATGTAGACGCTGTGGACAAGTATCATTAGCACCCGGCTAAGGCCTGTCGGTGACCGGGGTGTCATCTCTAAGCTACGAAAATCATCATACCATATGTCCTTACACATCAGTCATCGAAAAAAAACCTGAAAGTTTTTATGCTCCTTTCCAGGATTGAACCTGCGTCCTCTGCTTCCTTATGTTTCCAAGCATACACCATAACCCATTACGCCACCCCGGCGATATTTTTCAAAGATAATTTTTCGTAATTTTTAAACTTTTTTATTTCTTTATATTTTTTGTTACTTTTTCCTTTTATGTTAATTTATAATTGATCAATATATAGAATTTAATAAGAATTTAGTATTATTTTTATTTTAGGTCCCAAATATCTCAACTACAACACTCTAGTATTATCTTTAATTATTATATCTGGAATAAACATTTCAATAGTTTTGTTTCGTCACTAGTATTGTTATTTTCTATACCTAGTTTTTGATAAGCATTATATAATTGGGATTAAGGACATATCAATATCACATGAGATGTTATGCCTCACTCCTTCCGTTATTTCCTTTTGATTTGTATTTAAAAATAACAATATCTCCTTTTAAATTGTCTTTTATATTGAGCGAAATACAATTTTGTAGATATTTTGTTTTTTTTATAAAATAATTAAAATATTTAAATACAAAATTTGACTTAAATTGAAATATTTTTTCATTTATAACGAAGGTGTGGTTGAAGGAATGAAGGGCAATAAGGAAGGATACAAATAAAATGTAAAAGAAGCTAAGAAAAAATATTTGGTTATTTAATCTGAATATCAATATACATGTACTCTAAAAATTTCGATTACTAGCCACTTTTTAAGTATAATTGTTACCTATCATTAGAGATATTGATTAATAAATTTATAATTTAGAGGTATTTAGAAATATTACTTAATTTATGTTCCTTTTTTAATATTAGTTTTATTTAATGCTAAAATTCTAGGGTTATTTATTCCCGGCTAAAATTCTAGGGTTATTTATTCCTGAAGTTTGCTAAAACATTACCTTTAGCTATACCAGTGCGCCGACAAAACTATCAGCGGCTGGCGCAATTTTCAAAAATCGAATCGACGGCTGGCGGCGCGCCGATTTTTAGCTGCCGTCAATAAAATCGGCGTAAATCGGCGCAGTTAGAAATTTTTATAACATAAATTTTTTTAATTGCTTATTAATTTTTTTTTAAAAAACAAATAAAAATATACACTATTCTACAGATATCTCGGCATATTTTTTAATATTCATTTAATAGAAAACTTATTATATCCAAAATCGATTTCGTAATTTTATAATATCTTGTATAAAAATTATTTTATTTAAATTTTCGGGACATAATGATGATCTCCTTGAATTTAACGTCAATCCAGCGGTAGAGAAAACTCTTTCACTGAGTGTACTAGTCGCTGGAATGCAAAGAATTTTTTTGTCGAGACTGGAAAGATTAAGAAGTTCACTCTTCTTTTCTCTCCAAAAATTTAGAATATGTTGTAAATGTCGTTTTCCAAGAAAACTGTGGCATTCTTATTCTAAGTCACCTAACTTGGAATCATAAATTTATATTTGTTGAATGTTTATTTGCCAATTTTGTCAAATAACTTGAATTTAATAATTCATCTTCATCCTCATTAGCTATATTTACTACCTGATTATCATCATTCTCTATAAGTTTAAGATGTTTTATTATAAATTCTGAAGCTGAGCAATTTTGCTCTATTAAATACTTTGACACAATTGTCAATTTTTAAAATCTTGGATCTAAAAGAGAAGCCAATACCTAGATAATTTTAAATAAAAAATAAAAGAATATACTTATATAATATTAATTGCAGATTACAAACCGGAAATCGTAACGCAGGTTTTTTTAGCATATTTTCCTATAGTGAAATAATTTCAGAACTATCACTATCATTTACTATTAAATGTGTTTCAATTTCACTTCTAAAAAGTAACCAAGTTTAAAGTAGGCCCTTTATGTATTGAAAGAAATTCGACAGTTTTTTTAAATTTTGAAAGAAATGCTAATAGTTCTTCTATCAGATCAGATTCATAATTTGAGAAAGTGCTTCCCAATTCTTTTCAAAACATTATTAATTAAATCCTTATTTAATCCAGATATGCTTTCTAGCATAATTAATATACTATCCCAATGTTTTGGGCTTGGGATATTTAATTTTAAGGTTTCCATATACGTGGAATTATTGTTATTATTATCATTGGAATTGCCAATTTGAAAACGGGTACTCGGGTATGGATCAATGCTGTCAAGATCTAACATGTCTGATG